CTTTGCTCGGGTTTAGACCGCAAGTGATACGATGAAAGTTCCTTCTTGACCACAACGTGTAAAACCTGCAAAGATATTTTATTTTCAGTGTCAGCTTGTAGGTTTTTATCTAATTGTTCAGTTTTTTCTGTTCTCCCAAAGTTTCCCACAAGTGGTTGATCACCTTGTATTGAACCATAGGAGCATTTGACCAATAAGAGCTTCTATTCTCAGGGTCAGCTGTTTTCAGCATTAGGTATTAGCAGGGAAATTGCTTTCCTGAACCCTTCCCATTGCAATTGCAAAATGAAAGCAGGGTAGACGAGTGGTTGGAGAGTCTGCCTTGTAACTGACACTTGGATTGATCCCTGATGACCTCAGATGTCCTGCTCAAATGTCCTTGAGCAACACACTGAATCTGAACCATCTCCAGGGGGAAATGTTTTGCCACTGACCCCACTCCTGACCCACAGAACTCCTCCAGAATCAAAAAGAGGAAAAGTAAGTAGGGAAGATGGAATTTATAGGTCTGGTTACATGCCACAGTGGAGTACTTATACCCAGGCAGCTGGCAGGAGCCTCACACTGTGCTTATATTCACTATAATCATATCTTGGAGGTCATTGCACCAAAGGAAGTTGCTCACTCGTCTTATTCTTGGTCACAGATGAGCCTGAAGCTATTCACCTTCACATCTGAACATGACATATGGATTTACAAGCTGTTTAAAATCAAAATCTCTGCTAATAGAATCTGAGTCTGTTACTATTTCAGTGCTCAGGTCAAGTTGATTCTTGACCCACTGCTTTCATTAAATCGGATTTCAAAGATTATTGACAGGAGTGTCCGTATGCCGCCTCTGGCAAACTATTTAATTTAGCTGCATTCTTACCTGACAGAGAGCCTTCTAATTGAATAGGTTTAAATCTGAGCTGCAGCTAAAGTTCAACTTTTGGTTCACTTAATAATGTAGCACATTTACTCATGACATTTATTTCTGAAGAATCAGACAACCAGAAACACAATAGCTGCCTTAGGGGGATATGCTTAAATTTCTCAGTAATCAGCATTACACAAAAACTGTGGCTATGGAAACAGTCAAAGCTATTTGGTATGGATAATATAGGCGAAACAAAAAATCAATATGCCCTGAGTCAGAGATGTGCTTTAAAAAAGAATAAAATCCATTGAGAAACAAAAGTTTTATTTTGTCTTCTGCTCATGTTGAATTTCAAAAGGTAATAAAAATTATATTTCAGAAAGGAAATGGAGGGAAAAACTGCAACAACAGACAGGGGCCATTTCAACTGTCAAGTGATGGGATATTAAAACACTCAAGGAGCGAGAAATAAGATTTGCAGGATGAGATATTTTCAGTAAGGACAGCTGAGTTAAATCCTCTTAGACCTGTTCTTTTTCACAAAGACGGGATGGGAATAAAAGATCCAGGCAGCGTGCCAGGCCTGGGAAACTACATGTAGCTAAAGTCATCAAAAAAGACTGTTATTCACTGTGTGCCCTGATTCCATAAATCTTTAAGCAAAGAATGATGTGGCTATTTAGTGAAACAAGCAAGTTTTGACATGACTTCATCTAACACATGTTGACATTCTTTCAATTTCTCCTCTAAAGTCCTTATCAGCAAAAGAGAACTTCCTTCCTAACAGTGTTAGAGGCAGCATGGCAGGATATTTTGTTGTGTCTGGTAGCTTTTGTGTTGAAGGAGAAAAAAAATAATAATTTGGGTGCTTTTTTTCTTGTTATCATGCCATGTAATCTACCTCTGGAGCGTTCTGGCAGTGACCACCCATGCGCTGTGTTGTTGAGTCACTCCTGAAGACTCTTGGCAGTGAAAGGCAGTGATGCTTCTAACTACTTCTGACTACATGGTCCACAAATTAAAAATGCCTAATAGAAAACAGTGAGACCCTTTAGCTTCAAAGAAATATGAAAGCTGTTCTGGATGAAATGTAAAAGTATGTCTTATCAGAGAATTGGAAGAGAGGGTGGGGGATAAAAACAGCTAAAACAGATAAAAAGTCTCACTTCCCAAAATGTTTTTTCTTTAAGAAATAAATCAAATAAAGTTATGACGTTAGTGTGGGTATTACTCCTCAGCCAAGAGGAGGTGGTACATTTTAAAGGAGTAGTTCAACATTTTGGGATATACTGTATGGGTATTACCTTGCCAAAACTAAATAGTGGTAGTCTCATGTCTGTCCCTTAAATATGAAGCTGCATCCAGTTTGTTTAGCTTAGCTTAGCCTAGCATGGGGGGGATCTGCTAGCTAAAATTGTTGTTTTTACAGTTTGGTTTTTGTATAGAATAATCAAACAAGATATGGCATATTATTGAGTGACTTTAGAGATGTTGGTAGATGGATTTTGTCACCTTAGGACAGAGCAAAGTTAGCTGTTTCCATCCAGTCTTAGCGATAAGCCAAGCTAACCAGCTGCTACTTTTAGCTTCATATTCCAGTATTAAGCGTACAGATATGAGAAGGGTATCGACCATCTTATATAACTCATGACAACACACTGAATAAGTGTAGGGTAAATGTCAAACAATTTCTCTAACTGTGGAGGAAAATGTGTCCAAAACACATTGACCATTGACCCTGAAAGCATAATGGAATCCTGTTAACCCCTTCTCTGTTATGTTCAAATTATGTAAAACATTGCAAAGTTACGCTGATGTGTGAAGTTCTCTGTGTAGCTAAATGCAACAATAAATTGAGAGAAAACAAATTACACCAAATAAATGATTAAATGTTACAAAAAATAAGTCGCTCTGTTGCTAGACTGCTGCCAGAGTTCAATGAGGGTCAGTGGCAAACTGGAGAGCAGGGAATGGGAAAAGTGACATCATGGTAAACCAGAGTGATTATCACTGCTGAGCTGTGGTTACGAGAATAAAGAGCTCCTCTGTTTGGAGTCTGACCAGGCAGCAACCAGCTGGGAACAGCTGAGGTTAACCGTCCCAAATTATTCTCATCCACTGCCTCAAAGATAAAATCTTCTCAATTTCTACACTCCCTTGGAAACAAGAAGAAAATGCTAACTGAACTTAGGGCAAAAAGAAGAGGTGAAGGGAGTGAAACAGGAAGAAGAAAAGCAGACACATGAAGAAACATTTAGCAAAAGGCTCATTATCTGTGTAAACAAGAGTGAACATGTTAGACCTGTCATATAGAAAAAAGAAACATGCATACAGAGTAATTGAATAACTCACAAACCATTCCTGAAGCTAAAACTTGTGAGGTTTCATGAAAACTGTTGAAAAATGATCCAATTTACCAGCTTAACAAAAGCATAAACTTTCCCAGTGCTCAAGCCAAAACCTGCTGAATAAAATGTGAAAACTGAAGTACAAAGCACACTGCCTCTTTAGGTATTTAAAATTGAACAACTTGCCTGAGGAGATATCATTTGCAAACACTGCATTTTCCTTAAAGGCACACAATCCTTTGATGCATATTTTTTTCTCCTATTAAACTTTTACTGTAGATTTAACTAATTAATTTGTTTGTTCAGGATCAAATAGGCCTTTACCCATAACAATGAATGGACTCATTAGGGTAAATCCATGTCAGCAAAAGTGGTGTGCAAATGTCATAATGAGCATAGCTGCACTGCATTTATGCATAGTAGGGTTAATATATTTTATTAGCATTTTTTGCCATCAACATGGAGTGGGGTGTTGTTAGTCGTTAGGACTAACACATGTGTTGTGGTTGGATTGGCTGACCAGTCAAACCAGAAGCATTGCCTAGTATGAACATATTTTAGTACTGTAAAGCCCATGTACTACTTCACTGTGTCATTTCACCACTTTGGTAAATTATCTATTTATAGCTTTACCAGGACATTTTTATTCAACAACATCACATGAGGCAATAAGTGCAACTCTTGTTGCTCTGCCATCTTTGCAGTAGTTTGGACATTATATCAGTTGCCTCTCCCCAACAAAGTGTGTAAAAGTATCAGGATTTTCAATGATTTTAATTTATGCATTTCATGAACAAGTGGAGTTAAATGAGTAAATTTTTTTCTCAAAACCGGCAGTGCCTGTTTCTGCTAATATTACATGACCATGCGCACTATTGCTTACTTGTAGAGAGGACTTTTACTTCCTTCCTTTATGCAGTATTGTACAACCATATTTTTCACGAGTGAAAATATAGCTTGGCTGACATGTGTCTGAGTTGACTGACTAAGTAGTTGCTTGTACAGGCTTGTTTGTCAGTTTGGAGTACAGCACTTGACCTGCAGAACTTTACACACAGTTTTTGGAGTGTTCTTATTTCACTGAGTCAGTCTGAATGTGGGAACATGGGGAAACTGTCAGGAAAGGTCCAGATCATAATTCTTGTGTGTGTGTGTGTGTCTTCACACATATTGTTGCATACATACATTGGTCAAAAGTCATCTTTTGTCTGTGTGTAAGTTATTGTGTGGGAATATGCATTCACACATGTGTGCAACAAAAGTGAGTTCTGCTGCAGAGCACTCTGGGAACTAGAGGGGTCTTTCTAACACAAACACACAGAGGCATGGTCCCCACTGATGCTCTAATGCGGGTGGAGAGGGGTTAAAACAACAGCCTAGTGAATGCCCGGCACGGACACCAGAAAATAACCTACAAAGCCCCATTGACTCCAACTCTCAGAGTCCAAAGCACACTGTTTACGACAGCATGAACAGCAGACACCGCGCTGTGGCTCAGGTTTCAGAGCCAGGTTTCAGAGACTATTTCTGACTATGCTTTGACTGGTACTATGTGCACACTTTAAATGGTTCATTGATTTTTATAAGGTCACAGTAAAGTAAATGCGAATGAAACTGTAGGTCTACTGTGAGTGACAAATTACCTGAAATCAAGTCTTGTGATGTTTCAAACCAAAATAGATGTAATAAAATTACCATTTGACAAATAAATGTTTTTATTGACTGTCTGATGTTCAAACATTTTCAACAATTAGAAAAGAAAGTACAAAAATAAATAAATGCAGTCAAAACGGTTAGAGTAAGGTGTTCTTTATAGGTAAATTTAAAATAAGAGTGCACATAAAAGAGAATAACACCATCTGACTTCTCATCTTAAAGTTCTTCAGTGTACAATGTACAGTCAATAGTTCTTTCCAAACATATTTCATAATGTACAATGTTCATGATAATAAGTGATGTTGTTTGACACCAATCAAGCCGCATCAATCTGAGTTGGGACTTGAGCTACGCTAAGAGGCTTTAAAAACATTCAGGAGCGGAGAAGAATCATTTATTGCATTCCATTCACACACAATGCAAATTACACTTGCTGGAAGGCCTCAGGAGGAGGAAAGTTCAAACTGAACCAAATTCTATAATGTATTTGCCTCTGGGGGAGACACACATGAAGACTAAACAGAAGGAAGCAAAACAGGTTTCTTTGAGAAAAGGTTAGGCTAATTTTTGATGTCAAATTAGTTAAGTTAAAGCCTCTTTCAGTGTATTATGCAAATTGGATGTTTATAGTTGTTTCCTTAACCTCAAATGATTTGAATGGCTTGCTATAACAGTACAGTTATTATCAACAACACAACTTACTCTATTTTGAAAGAATAGTGGGCAATTTGTATTAAATCCTTCATTAGCAATATAATAATTTGTTGTTGTTATATTATTTTTGCAACTATATAAAGAAAAAATATATAATTACTTTAATCTTGTTTTATTTTCCCAATATTTCACTGTAAAATTACATTGTCTTGAAGATTAGGACCAGCTTTAATTGACAACACATGATTTTACGCACTTGTGATATAAACTGATATTTAATTAAATATGTGAAACAATGTTTAACCAGACATTACGTGATGTTTTTATCCAGACCCACTTAGAAAATGTAAGCGGATAAAGCTCCAGTGTTTTGTAAAAGGACATTGTGAAAGGACACAGGGATCAAGCCATTAATTTGCTTTACCTGTGTCTCGGTAAATTAGCCACTTGAAAGGTGTAACTTTCATCACACGTTCATTGCAATGACCTTGATCCCATGAGCGTTGATGTAGGTGAGAAGGACTTTCACCCGCCTCTCAATTACATCGATTAGCTTGTCAATGCCCTGCCGGCCCCCCTGGCTCTCCCAGTATGTCTGGTCCAGGAACAGAGACTGGAGGAGTTTCTCCCTCAGTCTCCCGCTCTTCAGCACTGACACGGCCCGCTCCGGAAGCCTAGAAAGACAGAAAGTCAGGAAGAAGTAGAATCAAATTTTAGTTTCAGGTGCATGTCTCAGAGGCAGAGCTGCTCTTGGCTGGGAGCAGAAATAATCCGATTGTTCCCACTGGGCAAAGCCATAACCTGTTTTTATAGTATACCAACAGTAAAGTCAAACTTGCCAAAAATAGAAGCAGTTCGAATCAAATTAGTCTTTGCTGCAACTTTATCTTGGTTGTTTCCTTACACTATACCCACTGCAATATTAAGAAGGCAATTGTAACACAGAGGTGCAATAGAATTAATAATTCAAATAGAATTAATTTAAGAAATATGGAAAAAAACAACAACACAGAGTGGGAGAAAGAGAGTGGATTATAAGACTGGATTCGACCTCAAGTGGAGACAATTCAAAGGCAGAGAACCGATTCTGTAATTGTGAAGTACGTGCACATCATGCAGATCTTGTTCAACGTGTCAACACTGATAAACATAAGGAACATAGCACTGTTCTCGTCAATGATGTTACAAACATTGGATTCACAGTTTCAAAGCAAAACGAGACAACACAGAGAAGTGAGCTGAAGGTAGCAGCCTACATAGCCTGTCACACATCCATTAGTTCTGTTGTCCATCACGGCGTATTTATTGGATCAACTTGTGATAAAGAGATGAAAATGCACCTGACCAAATTCACAGAGTTAATTAACCATGGAACTAAAATGCCAACAAGATATCTTTTTTATGCAACCAATTTTGGAGAGGCGCTTCTTTATTTTTCACTACATGTAAAAGCCAACTGCGTGTAGTCTGTGTTAGCATCATTACTGCTAATAGCTTGTTTTTTCTCACTTAAATTCTATCCAACTGGAACTGCTAACTACAGCTGACAGATAGAAGTGTAGTAGAAAAACACAGATTGACATTTACATTAGCTATCTGTAAATCAGAGAAACAGCGGCTGTCTGCTTCTTGGCAGCTGAAATTACACTTCATATATTCGGCATTGGTTGCCTCTTAGGTTGCTTCACTGGGAGTGACATGAAGGGTTACTCAGAATTCTAGCACAAGTACAAGCTGAAAGTTGGCCCTTCTGGTATATTTTTGATATTTCAACAGCTAACAAGTGGGTAAAAGCTCCACTCAGTATTAGCGGAAATGAGAAATGAGATCAGTATATCATGTGGAGCAGCGTGGCAGCTGGCTGCAGCAGTCAGGTTTGGAGTTGGTCATTTTCTTTCACTGAAGTATGACTGTGGGCGAGTGACACCTCATATGTTTTCAACTAGAACAAGATAAATCTACCTGGATTGAAGCATGACTAGCCTATAAACTCAGTACAGCTAGTGGATGTTTGTGAATGAACAAAACTAAAAGTGCAATTTTCTGCTTGACTCAGAGATATTGTTTTGTTGCTCACCTCACTTGAGTTTTGAGTGGATTTTTGTTTTTTGTCCCTGCAGAGGAGTTGTGGCTCAGAGAAATGTTTGTATAGCTTAAATCACAAACCACAAGAGAAAAAAGGTGGGACATGGACTTTGAAGATGACTGGAGAAAAGCAGTGGAGAGACTGCTAAGTGGTTGCAGCTTTTTCAATAAACTTCGTTAGTATATGTTGTACATGTCAGTTTGGAATGTGTCTGGAAAAAGATGTCAAACATCAGTTTATTTAGCTTTGATAAAAGTAAAAAAACCCTCAGATCTACAGAGAATTCAGCATAAGATCAAACAAAGATCAGGTATTAATGCTGCCTTGTGGTCTTATCACCTAAGGCCATCTGATAGCAGATACATTTAGACAGACCTTTATATGTGATTTGAATGACAGAATAGAAGCTACAGTTCTGATGAGGATCACAAGGATCCGTGTGTGGGGAGGAGACATGAGCGTCCTTGCCAAACCACAGTTTTTGTTCTGTGTCCCCTGTGGTATCACTGTGTCCCCTGTGGTATCACTGACTGATTTATTGATCAAAAGGTAGAATAAATTAAAGCAGTGTCTCAGCACTGTGGTTCAGAATTACAGATCCACACAGATCTGTGGGGGATAAACAGAAAGAACACATTATCATGCCCCTGAGATTCAAATCCAAAACACACAATTTACTTTGTTGAACTAACTCTAAATATTTACTAAAATTATATACATTTTTAACATCTAAATTACTATTTTGAAAGCGTAAAACAGCTTTAAAATGTTTCTAAAATGCTGCTTTGTACTTTTGTTTTGCAGATAATTGCATGCAAAACTTTAAATTCAAGGTTTCTGAAAAGGAATGGAAGAGATTCAAATCTGCTTTTTCAGCTTTGTGTGCAGGAATTTTTCAACTATGTTGTTAAGGGGATAACTATGGTAAACAGTTACTGAAAACAAGAAAGACTGTCCATCAATAAAATACAACCAATCCTCCTGTGGACACTTTTACCTTCAAATAAAAAGATTAATAAATGGTCCTGACCACTCATATATTTTGTTCTTAACTACAGACATTTTGGAAATAGGAAAACAGTGACAAAAGTTGTTATTTTGCTCACACACACTCCAAGTTAAGATAAAATCTGTTTCTTCGAACTTTCATGAATGTTTACTTTATGACAATACCCGTTACTGTTTAATTTAATATATTAATTTGACAGAGCAATAAAAACAATCAGTATTTATCACATGATGTTTTTGTGGCCCCGTCAGTACTGTAATCCAAACTCACTCTTTGATTCCCTCCAGGAGCCTGAAGTCCAGGTTGTCCTCATTGCGGTCGAAGAACCCCTTGTTGTTGGTGAAGACTAGGTGTTTGGGGTCGTGACCCCTGTGGATGATGTTTGTCAGTTGTATGTGGCTCTGGTCCCCACAATCGGCATGGTGACCGAGTTCCACACACACATCCTCCTTCCTGGGCCTGAATCCACAGCAGCCCAGATCTAGACGGTTGTGAATCTGTAAAAGAAAATGTTCATATTTCTTCAGAGAATACTTGTAGTTGATGTACTGAGAAAGCAATCACAGTTGTGACTGACACTGAGGAATTTTCAGATTGGTATTTCGGGAGTTATGTTTGATGACCCTGGCAAGCGCAGGAGATTGTATTGACCTCAACAAGCTCATTTTGCAATAGTGACTGGCTCCCTTTTACATTAACTCAAAGACTACAAAATAATTTGATGACAAGATAAAATAATTTAAAAGGTTTGGCAAAGACAAAACTAAACACATCCAGCAGTCTTGGCATGTGGACTGCTTGTTTGTTTGGTTAGATATTGACATCAGTCACGAGACTGCTGAGTGACATGATTAATGACTGCTGAGGGGACTTTCTTAAGCCTATCAGACAGCACCTCTTTTTATAACACTCATGCTTCCTCCACAAGGATAATAATAATCATAATCACAGCTCCAGCTTCAAAGCATAGCTCACTCTCTGTAGGCTAAACCATTTGATTGGCAGGTTTTAGGCAGTGCTACCAAAGACCAATGATGCAGAATCTGACATGCCACTCATAGGTTTCAGGTGGGACTTTTGAAGCCAGGATTAGGTCCCACTCATAGGCCACCTTTTTCAGAAACTTGGGAGTTGGGGCGACTTATCATCCACCAAGGCATGAAGTGTGATGAGGTGAAATACCTCCAGGACACCCATCAATCAAGACAACAATCCCCAAACCATACCTTCCTGTAAGCTGTACTACCTTCAAACAAAGACTTTTAACACCACAAACCGACTGCCAACTGCTCATCAGATGAAACAGAAACAGAAACTAAGGGCATTTGCACACTCCCTGTGCTCAAGGACACTTGGACATGCAGCAGGGGGACGGGGGGGGGGGGGGGGGGGGGGGATTAAACCACCAACTGTCTGATTAGTGGACAACCCACTCTGCATCCTGAGCCACAACCACCATTTACCCATATATATGTATCAATATCACTTCGGATATGTTGGAGGTATTACCACTGACTTTAATGTGATCAGTTTCTTTGGAGCAAGGATAGTGGCATTAGAGGAGCCTCAGGAGTTCCACTTTGGCTTTGGAATTCAGCCATGGTTGTTGTCACTTGGGCAATAAACGCCTGCAAGGGTTGGTTCAGGACAAGAAAGTCTATGGTATGAATAGTTACGATTTATCTGTTATTCAGTATCAAGAAAATCAATGTAATACCTTCAGTTTACTTTGACAAGATGGTTTATGTGCCCTGCAGCCTCACAATATGAATTTCTCATTGCTAACCCTATCATTTATTTATAAGGAACCTGAAATAAAGAGCAAATGAAAGATGAATAATCAAAGCTGTTGCAATATGACCTTAGTGGCTGATTTAGGAGTTTGAAAGGTATCCAAACTATTTTGAAATACATATTTTCCAATTCCTGTCTCTACTAGTTTGTTCCTTTATGATCAAGACATGAATTTAAATAATTCTCAGGAGATGTGTCCTCAATCTGATCAGAGATCCAGCCTTCCCACACAGGAAACAAGACATCTATTCAGCCAAAGGACAATACCTCAGAGGATATTTAACCTATTTTTCAGAAATAACAGCTGTTGGAACATATTGCTGATGTCAGGAAAAAAATATGTTTGCAGAAGTAATTTATGAAGCATTTTTAGAATTCAATAAAGCAGGCTAAAAACTGCACAAACACAAACCAAAGCACAGAAGTTGCAGCCTTGTTTTTTTTTTCCACATTTAGAGTAATGTGGAATTTATCAAATCTGTCACTATAAGTTTTCATTTTTCAAATTGCTATTATTACCTGTAATAAGAAGTCAAACAGAGACAGTTTACTCCACTCATAGTGAAGAACTGTGGAGCAGCTTGAGTCTGGCTTTGGGCTGGTATTTTTATGCCAGCACCTCTGTTTCAGGGATCTCTGGTACTGCCCCCATGTTAACCTCACGGCAGACCAGCCTGCAGCGAGGCCTTCTGGGTAAAGAGATGCATCCCATGACACCACCGGACAGGGCTGGCCATCTGAAGAGGGAGGATATAAGCATATATAGTCAGCAACTGTTGAGTCTCAGTAACAGTTTAAACCTATTTTTATGGAGGACAAGCTTATTGAGCAATACATATGTTTGGTGGTGGTGTTCTTATTGGCATTTATTCAATCTACATTGGTTACCAGAGCAGATCAAAACAAGAGAAAGATAGTCCAGGAATTGCAAATGGTGACCAGCATGTTTCTTACTGTAACACATTGTCTCTAACTCACTGTCCTCAGTAATGGTAGGGACTGTAAATGGAATGATGTTTTCATTTTGCTTAAGTGATGTATCAAACAACACCAACATTTACTGTGGTAGGGGCTAAAGCACCAAAGAGTAGAGCTCATTGGGGATTTCATAACCCAAGGCCCAAGACTGTAATATGCCATTTCTGGTCTCAGTACATATAATATTTCATTTTGACATTTTATGTTTGATGAAGCACAAGTAAATCAGATAGAAACATAATGTTGTGTTTTTTTCTCTTGCAGATGTTGTAGATGGAATAATGGTGATGTGGGAAAGAGAGGAAAGTGGACAGTGGCTCTCTGTCCCCTGCTGTGTATTTGACCCTTAACTTTACACCTCTTGGGAGCTCTCATTACAGTGTGTTGACATTTTTCTTAAATCTCTTACATTGATTTTCCTGTGAATCATAGTACATTCTATTTTACTATTATATGGCATTTAACTCGTCCATAGCATTCAGTGACTTTAAAATGTTAACACTGATTAGTCTTCAGGTTACAGATAACAAGGTTATCGAGTTATTTATTGTACTGGAGTACTTACATTATACAGTCTAATGGCTCCAAAATCACCTACATTTATGATGAAGTTGCATAGTAAGAGCCAAATAATCAGGGTATTATTCATAGTTTCAGTCTATGTCTCCATAGAACTGATTACAGTGCTGTGATGGTGATGATGCATTGCACTCTGAGTGAGGAAACCAAGTAATCAAGTTAGAAAATGTAATTTATTTTCTGCAGACAACTATCCCCACCTTCCTCCTGCTCTCTCTCTCTCTCTCTCTCTCTCTCTCTCATGCCTTTATGCTGCAGTGATTGTCATCATCATTCACTGCTTGCATTAAACAGTACAGTTGTGAATGAACTTGGTTTCAACAGCTGTCGGCACTAAGTTTTACCAAGCAGAAAATAAGAAGCTATGTCCTCGTGTCTGATGACATACCGTGTAAAAAGCTGAACTTTCTGCTTACAGCTGGTAACGTCCTATTGAGCCCCAGCACCCGGTCCAGATGAAAAGCGAAGACCTCAGTGGTGTCCACAGGACTGTTGATTATTCCACACTGCCCTCCACATACATTGCTCAGTTTTTCCGGCTTTTGTTTGGTCACTGAACCACTTGTTTCGCCCTCAAATATCAGAAGTGATGGAGAGTCTCCACTAGAAACTTCTTTGATCCGCAAAACTTTGGCATCCGCAAGAAAGCGCATGGCTTTCACGTCCTGTGGGCTGAACCATGGCGGTGCCTTCTGGCTGTAAATTCTGATAGAACTAATTTGAGAGTCTGTTTGTGCATCTATGTGTGATTTAGGGATTATATCCAAAGATTTATAATCGACATCCCTGCTCTCTCCCCAGGAAGTCTTGTGTGCAATGTTGCGCTTAATTTGGCCCGCGTCCCGCTCCAAAGTGCCAAGTTTGTTCTGCGTAAAAGCTAAATTAGTCGACTTAGTCCTTCTCACTTTTCTCCTCAGTTTTGGTCTGATTGTACCTCGAATATTTGCTGGTTTCAGGCGCTTATACTTTAGCGTTATGTACACCACGTTGGACCGTGTCGGGACCACAAAACTCGCACCGGTCTGCAAATCCACAGAGTCTGGCAGCGCATCACTAATATCCAAATTATACAATCCACGGGTGTGTCGGTACTTGTCTTTATCAGTCCTTCTGTCCCGGTTCTGCTGCGAGTATCCAACTTGTGAAACCACAAAACACAAATAGACAACACACACGCTCGCAATTATCAAACTCCTTTTTGAAAGAGGGCACCTCCGAAAGCTGCTGGTCAGTTTCAGAAAAGGGAAGCACAGCCAGTGAAAGCGAGACTTCCCCATTAGAACTTATGGTATTATCATGGTTGAGTGTCTTTTTTTGCGCCAAACTCAAACCAGGAGGAGCGCTCAACTTCCGAAACTCATTTTGGAAGGGAGGATTTGTGGCCACATAGTGTACGGAGACTGCTGCGTAAATAGGGGATGGACGGTCTGGGAAACCACCCTCCAACCAAACATGAGGCGACTTGATGTTTCAGGACTTTTTTCCCTTTCTTCTTTCAGATATAACTACGATCCTATATAGTCAAATACATATTGAGCACAGGAGGAACACCTTATGGATGTAATTCAGTTCTCATAGCCCGCATCAGCCTGCCTATTCTGCTGAGATTCACTGCACACGCTAAGGGGGAAGCGATTTGCGTTTTCAGATGAACTTTAATAAATGTTCTGCAAATGCACTCCAATTATAAAAAGTTTTTTTGGATATAGCCTCTCATTCAACATTTGCAGCCATGTATAATAATATAAATCCATGTGAATATGAATAGTAGGGATATCATAGCAGTTATTGTAATAATTATCATTGTTTGATACACATTCAAATCCAAGAGGACTTCATGACAATATTATTTAATTCCATTTAAATACATAGGTTTGAGGTCAAAGTGAGGAGTTACATAATTTTAAATGAAAATAGCCTACTAAGAATATTTGATCCGTTATACATCTAGCCTACGCATTTTAGGCGACATCTGCTGGTCAACTTCCATAATTCGTAATTGCAATTGAGTGCAGGCTGTTCAGATCGTGCATGGAGACAGAATATAAGAAGGGAAAAGGGAAGCTGTTAAGAGCAGGAAACACATACCCCCTTCAGATATGATATAGGCCTACAGGATTTCCTGACCTGAATAAACACAAGTTTAAATATAGAACTATTGTTATAGAACTATTGTGACCAGATATGTTCAGATAAGTGCTGTCGTCTTCAGCATGCCAGGCGACTGAGTGCTCAAACCTGAACCTAACATATTCAGATCATTTGTTTATATTTTTTATTCATGTGTATTGATTGACTTAATTTTACATTAATAATAACACGTAATATTTCACCCAAGGGCAACACACAGGAGAGTTAAACTGCAACCTGTAATTTATTTAAAGAGAGATGTATAGCTCAGAAGTTATTTAAGACTACAGACGTGATGGAAGCCCTCATATTGAAGCGCTTTTGCCGCCTGCACTCAGTCCTTGCATGGATGACACTGCAGCCTCACTGCGTCACATTGACTGATTGAATAATTGGCAGCACCTGGCAGAGTGTCAGTACTCATCGCCGCACACACGCACACACACACACACACATACCGGTTTTAACACTGTGGACCTGCTGTATCACAGAAGACAAATGTTACGTTTTAACATGTTTGAAGCAAAATGCCCACCTTTGCTTTTATTTGTTACCACATTATTGATGGTGAGCTGTCACGGCGCTGAACAAGGTAGGGACACATTCTAACTGGTGCATAATGATGAATGTGAGGAGCTCTGAGGCTGGTGTGTTGTCTGACATCAGCCCATTTTAGATGTTTGTCTCACTTCAAAGTTCTTCCAGGTGCCACATGTGGCGAACATGCTGGAACTGGCGAACTGGAAACATTTGAAATCAGCTTTAACTCAACCAATATGACTAATTTCGCCTATGGAATTGCTGCAAATGTGGTTGCTGTGCTGTTGTATGGAAGCAACTTTGTTCCTGTAAAAAGAATAGAGACAGGAGATGGTAAGCATTCAGCACTTGATTAATTATTATTATTATTATTATTATTATTATTATTATTATTATTGTAGTTGTTGTTCTTATTGTTATTGGGTTTATATAAATTATTAAAGGGATACTTTATCCCAAAATCACAAATACATATTTTTCCTCTTTTACTGTAGTGCTATTTATCTATCTAGATTGTTGTGGTGTGAGTTGCTGAGTTTTGGAGATATCAGCCGTAGACATGTCTGTCTTCTCACCAATATAATGGAACCAGATGGCTATTTTCTCTATTGGAATTTTGCAGAATGAAGCATGCATCTACTCCTGGATGAGAGGCCCATGCTTAAAACAGTGCAGGATGTAAACATTAATGCATCCTTCTGGACTGAGCTGTAACATTAGCTAGCTCACCTAGCACTACTGAGATAGCTAATGTTCAGCTACAGTTGCCGGGTGTAGTACAGTAGAAATAAAATAGTTCCTCTATTAAACTGCTTATAAAAAGTGGACAACTGGGTCCTGATTTCTGGAAAGAGACATTGCTGTTGGGTTTTTTTAAATGTGTTTTTTGGCACTTTGAGCACCATAAGCAGAGTGCCATCTGGTTCCGTTATATTCAAGTGAAGGGAGATATTTCCATAAATAGCACTACAAGTAAGAGGAAAAATGTGTTTTTGAAGTAGGGATGAACTGCCCCTTTAAGGCTTTTCTACTGGGGAAATCTATAGGATTAAAACTTTGATGGCCAGTATGAGAATTTGCCTGTGTTCTGTTTACAGGTATGTTTTTTCAGTGGGTAGTCTGTGCGGCGATATGGGTTGTATCTATGGTTGGAGATTTTATGCTTCAGTCGCCAAAATTCCACCCTTTTGCAATGCTTGGAGGTGTCATCTGGGCTACAGGTATTGTCTCATGAAAGCATTTTTTTTTTTTTTAAAGCTCAGCTGAGCCATCAATACCACATAGTATTAACTTATTTTCAGTTGTAAGAACTCCCTTTTTGTCACAGTATTGGGGGGCCAGTCCAAAGAGTGTGCATATGCACATGCAACCCCACTGAGTTGAGGTACAGGACAAAAGGCGCATACATATAAAGTATAAGCGCTTCATGATTAGGAGATCACATGCTGTCACTGGATCTCTTCCCATTGTGGGATGAAACCACACTCAGTCACACTTAAAACACACAATTTTAAGTACCTTTTGGTTTTCTTCCATCCTTTAAACATGTTGTATGAAACTGGGACATTACTGCCACTCAGAGCTGGCACATTTACTTTTGGCGCAAAATCTTTGGATCATATGGAAAACTGACTGATCCCCCCTTGAGTCTGTTACTGGACAAAACCAAGCGTCTATTGCTCCAACACTGTATCAAAACCTACATTACTGTGGAACTTTTTGAGCATATTGGTCTCAAAGCATACTGTACAGAGGTGCTTTCCATGACACTGATTTAGCATTCAACTGCAATGTCCCTAATATCAAACCTTAAGTCTGTGGACCGCTATTTGTCACCAGCATCACCTGGGAGGTTAACACTACCTATAAGACATGCATGTTGCTAACTTTTCCCCCCATGTCTTCTACAGGCAATATAACAGCTGTACCAATTGTTAAAGCAATTGGCCTTGGTCTTGGGATTTTAATTTGGGGTTCCTCTAGTTTGTTGATGGGCTGGGCCAGTTCAAGGTGAGTCAGATTAATTTATGTTCTTCCACCCAGAATAGAAAATCAAATTTCCTTTCTTTTGGCAAGTTAAATTGATTCTGGGACTCTTGTTGGGTCCTGTGATAGAGGTTTCACCTTATGTAATCCACAGCTTTTTTTAAATTGGCAATATATTTAAAAGAAAGTGACTATTTTTTCACAGATTTGGCTGGTTTGGGATTACTGCTCAGGATGTTTCCAGGCCGATATTAAATTATTGTGGAGCTGGGTTGTGTCTGCTCAGGTAAACTCTAAATTTGGAAGTAAAGTCTCCACCTTCGTGCTAGTCACTGTAGCTGTAAAGAACAAAAAAAAAACATGGTTATAGTAGTTTTCTGCTGTCATTCTGAGCTTTGTTTTGGATGACAGACGTGACTTTTGTGTTTGTTCCAGTGGCCTGATTTTTTTCTTTGTGAGAGCGGACGTGGAACTGCATCCCAACTCAGAATCAATTCCATTACTTATCGACAGGGTGAGTACATTGATGGTCTATTTGTCTTTTCGAGAAGTCATTTCTGACATCACACTCACAACAAATTTAAATTTACCAATATTCTACCAAGGAGAATTTCAAGGACAGTCAATTCTTGCTACTTGGTTTCTGAGCTGTGATGACTTTGGCTCGTTTTGTGTGCTCTCATGGTGTCCTTGTTTTGAAAGACACAGTGACTCTATATTAGGATGCTGTTCCTTTCTGCAGAGAACAAATTCAGGCAGCTACGGACCAATTTCCTCAGGGTTCTGGATAGATGTCATCGGACCAAAGACCAGGCGGTTCATGTGAGCTGAACTCAGTAGCAGTCTGTGAGCTGTGTGCACAAATATTGTACTTGCAAGCTCAAAGTACAGACAAGGGAAGGTCTATGAAACATTGATTTTGATTAAATTATCAATAGAATGTTTCTCAAGTATAGAACAAAGACCAATTTAAATATTTACTTTAGCCCCAGGCTTACACCAAAGTCCTTAGTTGTTCAATCTACAGCTGCTGGTCAGCTTGGTTTTTAATGTAACATGATGTGTGTCTTAGCAAGTGTTTTCTCTTTGAGGTGACATACTGAATAAAAGTGTGCCAAAGCAGCAAAATAATACAATAATCACTCAATGATATGCAGCCATCATATCAGGCACCAGAAAGTCCTTAAATGGGTATATACATCCCAGTGTACCATGCACATTCAACATGAGAGTCAATTTCCATAAGCCTCATATCCAACAGTTAAATTAGTTTTACAAATTCAGCAATCTGTCAGTGGAGATTTAAAACCATCCATCATGTAGTTTCTCAGTCTCTTCATCTTTTCAGCGGCTGCCTGCTCGCTGTTGTGTCAGGCCTGCTGTACGGCTCCTCCTTCGCACCCATCCTCTACATTAAGAGCCATTCGTCGTGCCGTGACAGCATGTTCCATGGAGCCAGTGTCTATGGTATGGTTACAGTGTTTGATGGCTGCCTGAACTTTGAACCCTTTAAGCTACTATGAATATACCTTAATTACTTATGAAATGGAAAAAAATACCTCAGGTTTAAGACT